TGAAAATATAAGATATCCTTGGAACCAAAAACGTCAGGACAACAGCTCTTCAACCATCTTCTGATGGTAAGGTAGAGAGATACAACCAAACACTGTTAAATCAATTAGCCATTTCTGTGGATGAACATAAAAAATGTGGGACCAAAATCTATCACTGAGTTATTGAACAGCAGTACATATTGATACAAGCAATGCACCATCATCACTGATATTTGAGATAGAACTTTATGTGCTTGTATCCAGAAGATGGTCATTCAGCAGTCATGCAGATTGTGTAGAGAGTTTAAAGAACATCATTGAGGTTATACATGACTTTCTCTGGGAAAAAAAAAAAGAGTTAAATCACCTGGTGATAAAATATAAAATTTGCTATGATATTAACCAGATGCCATTAAGGTGATATGCTATAGCTGTACAATCCCAGCCTCAAGAAAGGATAAATTTCAACAGGCATTGGAAAGAGCCATGTATTGTACCAAAATGATCAATGATGTGGTTTGCATAATAAGAGGGATAGACAATCCAAGCAGAGGTAATCCACTGTGATAATATTTGGAAGTAGGTTGCTTAGATAATAACCTACTGGATAACTCCAAAGAATAATTTGTCAGCTGAAAGTCAAGTTACTGTGGAGTCCAGTTCCTGTTTAGACCATTTCCATAGGATTAACAAGGATAGCACCACCAGTGGATTCACTCAAACACTTGCCCAGTGAAAGGATAGAAAGTGATGACAATGGGCAAAAGGCCATTCTATATATATACAACAGGCCTCAGAAAACAAAACCACTAAAAGGAATTGGTGAATGGACAGATTAGCGTAATGTTTTATTTATTTTTTGTATCAAAATTGTTCAAAGGACTTCACAATACTGAAAATGGACAGTTTTCTGAGACATATTAGCATTTGTTTTAATTTATATGTTCAGTTTGTTTGTTAATAAATGCACAACTACATAATGGGTTTTAGCATTATAAGCTTTCAGGCTTACCACTGAGACACATGATGTTAAGACCAAGTAGGTTCATAAAAGCAGTCCCAGTACACTTACAAATTTTGAATGTTGATGATCAAGAGTCTTTGTGAAATATTTAGAAAAAAAATACATTATATATATATACATGAAACACTGAATTAGTTATCAGTTGTTTAGTGAAATATTCAGATCAGTGTTAGTTATTGTGTCAGTTACTAGATAATTAGTCATGATATTGTAAAAGTTTGCTTGTACATTTGTCATAGTAGCATTAACAAGTAAATTTTTGTTGAAAGTGAAAATGTTATTTTTGAACTTAGGCCTACAATTGTGAACAGGTTATAGTAGTCTGTAGTAAACATTAAGGAAGAAACGAAGTAAGTTGTTATCATTACATGGACTGGACTTTGCAATATTTTCACCAAATAATTTAAAAGAAACTGCCCAACTATAGAACATATGACAAACATATATTTAAATGTCATATCTAGTGACAGTCCAGCATTGTAATTTTATTTTAGAATTTTACTTTGACTTCATTTTGAATTGTGCATTGCTGTTATGATTAAGTGTAATTAGGTTTTTGTTTGCGATTTTCTTGTTGTAATTTCATTTCGAGTTCTATTCATTTTAATTTTAGCTTTAATTGGTTTTGTTTTGTATTTTGTAAATTATGATTTCAATGTATATGTTATGTATTTTTGCAAGTTCTATTTATTTTACTTGGAGTTTTATTCCATTTATAGGTACCTTTTATTTTATTTTTAACATTAACTTGTTGCTGTGGTTTATATGTTTCCCTTTGTGTAGGTGTCATGCCACCTTTTAAGAGATAACAGCATTTTTACCAACTGAAGTTAACTTATTAATTTGGCCAGTATATTTTAATGTTCAGATCTAGAAAAACCTTAGATAAGGAAAGGTGAGTTTGTCACAGTTGAAATATATCTATAACAAGAAAAAAGATATGATCAGATAATTTTCTAGTGCTCTCCAAATAGTTATGGCATCTTTATTAACCAGGTATCAAAAAGATGTAAATATATGTGCTAATCCCTTTACTTAGATAAAAATTATATACAGGAATGCCTATGTCATGGAAGATTGTATTAAGTTGACCTTGAGTCTGTGATCATTCCTTGCAAGCCCATTTCAAGAGATGACAGATTATTGTACTACATCAATACGTCAGTGATGTAGGTAATCTATACATTATAGGATACTGCATTTGAAAACTTTGATGATTTGAAGGTGTAGTGGCTATTTTTAGTGAAATCTCTTAAAGAGGCATTATATGAATAATCAGTTGAGCCCTAAAGAACCAAATATGAGTATATATTCAAACACAGTTTTCTCCTCTTCCAACAACTGGGAATAATCTTTTTTACCCTATAACTGAGAATATACTTGTGTCACTGGCCACAATGAGTGTCTTATTCAGGGTACACATACTACAGATACAATAACCGAATTTTTTTTTTACATGAAGAGTATCAAAAGATTCTATAACTGTTAATATATGTTATTTATAGACTAAAGAGCATAGAAAAACAGGCTTTCATGGGATATTATAGGCTTTTTGAACAATTATATACATTTTAAAGCTTTGCTAGGAGGCCTGACTGTTCTTGAATATATATATTAACTATATACTTTAGTATGTATATACAAAAAACCTTAGTTACTGGAAATATAAACCAGAGAGAAATACACATAAATGACTGATAATATTCAATGAATAAGCTACCCATCAATATATATATCTTGCAGATTAATTTTACTGTGGGGTGTCTGAAAAACAACAAAAACTCAGGTATATAAAAACTGTTTTTACCTTACTACAGTAAACTAACTTTAACAAAAAATGCCAATAAATAACTGATAGGTCAACTACAAGTTCACTGATTTCAGCAAAGGTATTTGTTGGCACTAGTGCAGAAATTATGCACATATTTACATAATACAGAGGACCTAAAGCTGTAGCACAAAAGCATATGATTTGGTTAAATAAAGATACATCAGTTCAATTACTGAACTATATAAAATATATATATATCCATGAGTAGCAAAAATTATAAAGTTAATTTACATTTAATCCTCATACATATCATGTGTGGTATGACTGGATAAGTGAAACAATTTTTATCTCTGGTAAAAATAATATACTCTAAAAGCAGATGACCCCACCAACTACTGAATTACTTTCCATGACCTTAGACCATGAGATAGACATCAAATCTCAAGAGATGATGTGTCTGCAGAAATAATAACATACCCTCATCAGGATATTGAATTAGCTTTCAATATTTATTACATTTTACAAATTAGTTTTCTGGAGAAACTGATATAAAACTACATAGTTATAACACTTTTTACAGTAATTATACATTTTCAATAGAATTGGTCTTGAACTTGCCAATAATTGTTATAAAGTTCTATTTAAAAATTTGCTTTTAAAATCATTAAACCATTTTTTACCACCAAGCTAATTTTTTTTTCTTGAATCATTTCTCATCCTATTCACCAAAACCTAAAGTGTACTTGTAATTACGTTTTGTAACAAATTAAATACCATCCACAAAAAATCTTTGTTCCATAATGAAAGCTCAGCCTATTAGTCATAAGAAAATAATAAAGTCATAAATATTAAACAAACTAAGTTTGAAATCTGGACACTCAGACTTAATTACAACTTTAAGTACAAGTTACATGGACAAATTGTATATCTGTTACTTATTTTAAAAGTTTACTTGCTTAAATGGCGTAGCTTCAGTTCATTTAGGAATTATGCCAAAAAAAATATTTTACTGTGGATAAGAGGTAAAAAAAGTTTCTTAAGTGATAGGTTAATATTTCAATTACTTTCAATCTGAATTGTCTAAAGTAAAAACATATTTGAAATACTGAACTCAGATGCTACAAACGTATACAATAACCACTATTTTCAAATTTAATGGAACTTCACTGAAATTTGTAAAAATGAAAGATTACATACATTGTACTACAGGCAATACTAACCTTCTCAAAAATTAGGTACAGCTTTACCACTAATACTAAAAGCACCCATTTTTTCAGTAATTTGTGTAACTGTAAACTAAAAGAAAGTGGGAAGGGGGATCAAAATTTTCGAAACATACTACAGTGTATAGTGTACGAGAAGAGAAGCCTATCGCTCGATTATGAAAACTCACTTTTTGTTTTACTTTCACTTTGTAAAAGATTTACAATCCATAACAATAAAGGCGCGAAATATCGTAGTATATAACATTAACAGTTAATTAACACTACACGTACAACCTTTCACAAATTACAGACCTGAACAAGAGCCCACATCTAAACTAAAGTTGATATTTTAATAATTACGTATTAAACTTAATGTAAAAACTAAAAAATTAAATTATCTCTCATACAGTCATAGCTCTTCTTACGTCTCTTTTTTTTTCCTACTACACCAAGTAACGACTAACGTTATTAAATTAAATTTATCGATTAACGTTATATTTCATAAACATATTTAAAATTTCAGAATTGTCAACTTAGGTTAAAACTTGTATTATAATTTATTCCTGACATTAAAGGTCATGCAACGGGGACCCACAGGAATATTCTTTAACCAAGACAAATCAAATGTTACTGCAAGGCAAATAAGTAATATTCGTACAGTTCACATTGATAAGCTTATAAAAGTAACTCCTTCATCATCATCCCTTGGCAGCTATTTAAGTTTAGACTAGGGTAATGGTGCTGGAAATTGGAGAATTTTCTTTTGCCTAATTAATCAAAAATTCATGGTATTGGACTGAATAAATGTTATTGTTAGTATTTTTACGGCTTTAATTATGCTTAAACGTTAAACTACCGTAACTTGATATACAATGTCGTCATTATTGTCATAGAAGCATTACGCGGGAAATTCAAGGTTTAAAAGTGATTGGCTAAAATAGAATACAAGGTTGGATCCTCATTGGATAGTCCCTCAATCCTATCACGTGACAATAGTTTGGCATAAATACTGTGGTCAGCACAACGCGCGCAGATTTTGATTGAGGAACTTGTAGTGTAAAGTTGTCGTTCTTTTGTCAAATATGTCCGGACGTGGTAAAGGTGGTAAAGTTAAGGGAAAAAGTAAAAGTCGTTCTAGTCGTGCTGGACTTCAATTCCCAGTAGGACGTATCCACCGTTTATTACGAAAAGGAAATTATGCTGAGCGTGTTGGAGCTGGGGCACCCGTCTATCTTGCAGCAGTTTTAGAATATTTGGCTGCTGAGGTTTTAGAACTGGCGGGAAATGCAGCAAGAGATAATAAAAAGACTCGAATTATTCCTCGTCATCTTCAGCTAGCCATTAGAAACGACGAAGAGTTAAACAAGTTACTTTCTGGTGTGACCATCGCTCAAGGTGGTGTTCTCCCAAACATTCAAGCAGTTTTGCTTCCTAAAAAGACCGGCCAACCAACTAGTAGTGGGAAACCCAAGAAAGGTGGTGCAAGTCAGGAATTCTGATTTGGAAAATGGACTTATTGTTTTTCACAAAAATTTTAATAATGTTACGAATGTTTATTGTGTCCTTTTTTCATACTTGGATGATGTAGTTTGTTCCGTTGCTTTATCATTTGAATAATTTTCACAAGTATTTTCAATGCTGATCGTATTTCACTTTTACTGTTGAATGATAACACTAATGTTCTTTAACTTTAAAATGAATTGTATAAGTCTGTTTGTAAACAGTTATTTGCTATTTTCACTGCCAATGTAAATGTATATATTCATGTCTGCCATAATAAAACTTGTACAGTGTATTGAGTTTGTGCCTTAATCAGTTAATGCAACATTTAAGTGAGAGTTACAAACTGCTGTTCCTAGCCAATTATATAAGTAGTCTGGCTAGATTTATATGTAATTGTATAATACAAAATATGGGTTGTTGGACATAACTTTTAGATATAATTTATTAAGCAATTCTGTAACAATTTTTTATTATGGTATATTACATTAACTACAGTGGTTTCCTGTTTTAGAAACTAATGTGCACATTATGCTCCCAATAGCAAAAATGTTCTAATAATGCTGGAGCATGTCACTTGTAGATCTTAAATTACAGCACTACAACTTTTTGTTCATATTCCCAGCAAAATTAAAAGTTAAGTATTCTCACTAATTCTTATTTCCTCTCAAAGACAACTATATATTACTTCAAGGAAAAGAATTCCTCACAAAATAACTTGTATAGTAAAAAATTTATAATAATTTTGACACTTTTTTCAGGTTAAAATCAAATACTGGATTTTACCAATTTCCTTATCACAAATCAGTTTTATTACAACTCGTCAAAATTTTTTTGAAGTAAATAAATGTACCCTTTCTTTCATTAAGTGATCTGAACTTGTTTGCATTCAAATTGTATGCTCTCATAAATATTTATACAACACACCAGTTCATTCCTCGCACATAATCCTTGTGTTTCAAATACAGCTTTACTTATATCTTATTGTTTTATTACCAGCTTGAACGATAGCAGACATATGCACATCTGTTGATATAATATTCATTAGTTGAACAACTTTTTCTTTGCAAATCTAGCTAAGTTGGTTAAATATCCTGATCTCGCTAAAAGTTTGAAATATTTCATTGTCTAAATCTATCAAAAAATGATTTTATTCATAGCTTCATAATATACAAAATATTGGTTCATATACTTCACACAAATTGAGATTTTTATTCTAAGCTCAAAACTATCTTCACAATGTATAATAAAGAAAAAAGTTCACACTTTTTATCACCACAGTCAAGAACATGAAGGCCAACTATAATTTTTTGTGAAATAATTAAGTTTTTAATTTAAAAAAATAACTGATATTGACAAATCCATATTAAGAAAGGTATCATAGATAAAACTGATTATTTATGTGGAACATTACTGAAAAATTGTTGTAATTTAAATTGAAACAGTAAATGTGAAAAGTCATGAAACAGTTTTTGATAAGATTATTTTTGTGTATGTACATACATAAGTAATATAAAAGCCTTTCCTTTATTTCAAAAGGAATAATGTTTGTTCAAATACTTTTGAAGTAGAAAATCTTTAGGGAACACTTTCCCTACGGAAAATAAATCCAACATGTATAATGAAGATACAAAACAGCAACAACAGGTAATAATAAGTACCTCATGCAAAACTTGTATTGCAAGTTTCTATTGAATACAGACACACACACAGATATATATATGTATTTAAATCTTATTTTTCCAAATAGTTTAATTTGTTTTCTGGAAAAGGTTTCACACAATCTTATCCCGAAGAGTACATCTACATTAAACAAATTTTAACAAGAAATTAAAACTATACCCTCAAAGCTAACCTAAAAATGGAAAGAAACAAATGTTATGGTCAATTTTCTTACGTGATATTCACAGTCACCCAATTCAAAACATTATTATTAAAGGCTGCATGATGGGTGCTACAATATTGAAGTTCATATCCATGCCTTTAAAAAAAAACATTTATAATAATAAAAATCACAAGAGAGTAAATAACAACATGACCTATAATAACAGTAATCCACATATGATATATTTAGTAAACCCATATATCTTTATCCATGTTGAAAGGAAAATTTCATATTAATCATCCAGGTAGCCATAGGAGCAGCTTTAAACAAATAATGAGAGAGCAATAACCTGGTTAAGACTAGATTTGTCTTGAAATGATGAAACAAATGCTTCTAAATAATAAAGGTGCAATTGGTTTAAAATTTGGTTCAAAAATATGGAAAATAATATTTACATCACCTAAATACATTGAACACAGATACAGGTAAAAAAAAAGGAAGAGAGAGAGAGAGATGCATTAAAACAAACTTGAAACTGTCTAAACACTGAATAAAGCATATTTCTCTTCAAGTTTATGTGTGAAATTATTGAATACTTTGTGAGTAATAACTAGTTAACATTACATCGTTAGGAACAGTTATTCAACAGATTTATGTATATAGTAGTTTTCAAAAGAAAAATTTGCTCAAAGAGAATAAAATCTGTTATTGTACAGAAAATAAACCTAATGGCATAATAATCATAAACAAACTGAAGAAAGTTCATTTCTTACTACTTTAAACCATCTACTTAGGCACAGCATGAACCCATATGAACTACTAAGCAAGTAGTGACCTAGTGGTAAAATTTGGTTTTTGTTTTTCTACATGCCAAATCTAGGTTTTGACAAATCATGATAAAACAAAGCAAGCAAAAAGGAACAGCAACTTTCAATAACAATGTATCATTTCAGGGTTTGTGGAGCATACTTTATTAAAACTGTTTTTCAAAACTAGGAAAATGCTTTCATTTATGATTATAAATAAAATACACCAGCTCTAGCAGTCATTTGTATTATCTAAATGAATAACAGTTAAACTGCAATAAAGCAAAGGATAAAAGAGGACGTTGGCCCAAATAACCATATCCTAAAGCAATATGTGAGAAGTTTGGTTATTCTGAGGCATGTGTATATACAATATCATTTTTTTTTACTGTATAGTATGTAGGCATACTATGTGCTTACTACCTTCTTATCTTAATATAGAATTTTTCGGTTAATTTAGATATGTGCAGTTTTCCCATAAAATGTGGTCAAGGAAGTTGTTAGGTTTCTTTCACTCTAGCTACCTATTGTTCTGTGTTGTTTACCTGAGATAACAACTAGTCTATCCATGGAGAAATTAGCCGTAAAACTGCACTTTGTGTAAAAAGGTGGACAGTAGTTTTCTCCAATGGTAGGTCTGGTAATATCTCAAGGTTACAATCTCCATTACTTCCTAATAGGAATGACAAGTCATGTGGATGGTGCAGGTCACTGTGGGAAAGCTTGCTGTTACTGCTTTATGTAATGTGTTGTTTTCATAAACTGGAATAAGATTTCAAACTGAACAGTCTAGAAGGAGAATAAGCAATCTAGATCCAGTAAAGGCAATCATCTTTTGTGTTAAATTGAATACACATATTGTGTTTGTTTCAAAAAGATTACCTATTGTACTTTTTTTACATTTACGTTCAATGTCTTAATTTCTCACAAATACTCATTCTGAGAGAATTCAGAATTACTCTGTAATATATGTCTTGTCGATTTTCCTGTTATCCTGCAAACCCATCATGTTGTTCTTAAGGGAATCCATTTTACCAGAGAATACCACAATTGCATATGCAAAACTTACAGGACTGGAATATTTTATAGATTACTTCTGTATTTGTTGTTGAAGACGTTTCTTTGTTCAAAAACTAAGCTTTCAATTTCTATAAAACAAGTTCTCTCTTCAATTACTATAGGCTGAATAAATTAAAAAGAAGGCACATGACTGAAATGTAAATAATTGGAAAAAACAATGCACTTTCAAACTGAAACTTTATATCTTCAAGCACGTTCTGAAAGTCTAAAGCCAAAACCAGTTATTTTTCACAAGGAGAGAAACTTTACTTTAATGAATGAATTTTTATTGTGAATCTCACATAACAAAATTTTAACTATTAAAACACTGATAAATTCATTGTATTTCTTTAACACTTAAAAACTCAATATCACATAATCCGAAAGCTATTAAACAAAACATAATGACTGTACAAAAAATTTGTTCTGTAACAATATTTGTCCATCCAGAACAAACTTCTATGAATTAGATGTAAAAACAAACAGATATCGTTCTACAATTTACAGTACATGAAGACCTTGTAGTATTTAAAGCCATCATAATGCAACCTATTATTCCTAGTCTATTTGACTATTCCTTTCAAAATTATAGACCTTATAAGGATCTAGTCACATTCTGGTGAACTCAGAAGCATTTGACAATTTCTGGTACATATTCCAGATTTCAAGTTATTCAAAAGTTCTAATGACTTAAAAAAATTAATATAATAAACTAAGAATTGTGGCTAAATAACAGTGTTCAAGGTAACTAATACTTATAGAAACAAAAGTGGAGCCATAAATACAAGAATTTTTGAGACAGAACTATAATTTTCCTGTTAGTTTTAGGTTAAATTGGTGTTTAAGGTAGGGTGTTTGTAGCAATTGCCAGGGGCCAAGTTACAGGACCTTTAACAATAATGTCATGAAGTCGATTTCTAATATCCAAGAAATGCCGCTTAAACTCCAGCCCATCACCCTAATAGAACAAAAAGAACATTTATTAAACAATATTTATAACAATTTCACATAAAATATTCAATATTATTTCATGTACATACAAAACGTTACTTAGGTTTCATACAAAACCTATTTCTAAAAATTGTATTCATCAATAGTCTACAATTTTAGCTGAAATACTAGTATATTTTCTGTTTTGTTTGTAAGAAGTTTGCATAACAGTGAGTAATTCCATAATTATAATAACAATATTAAATACAGTTCAAGTAAACGATCAATATATACAACCTAAAGTCCATCAAAAAATTCATAATTTAACATTAAAGCAATAGTAATCATCTTCCATATTAATACACACTATGCACTTACCCGTGATAGCCTGAAATCTACAAGTATATCTGTCATCTCAATCAGATTGGCCTTGAAGACAAGCTGCATTTTCCTTCGATCCTGGGTTGTTATTGTTATCTAATTGAACAAATGCAGAACATGAATTACTTTCTCAAATCTTTTCTTCATATGGTTCTTATAAAACAAACATTGAAAACTTACAATTTCTCTTTTTTACACCTTAAGTTGGATCATTGCTTCCATTAGTTTCTTTCTTGAATTTTGAAAAATATATTACTGTGGGCTGGCTATATTCGTTTTTTGGTTTACAGGTGGCATCGACACATCCATGCAAATTAAACCAAATCTCGTTCCCACTGAGAACCAAACTGGTTATTATACTAAACTAAAATTATTTTTGTAAGCAACTTTTTCAATGTTTTAATTAAAATGTGAAAGTTAAGGATCCAGAAAGTTTACGTACTTTGTATAAATAAGGGTAAGATATAAATATTAGTAATCAATGATGAGTCAGTTAATAAGTTAAGCAGGGAATCATAGGTAATGTTTGAATTAGTTCTGTGATTAACTGAAAATTATTAAGTTTAGTGAGTTGTTAATGAGTATTCAGGTCAAAGTTAATTCAGTGTTAGAATACAGAGTTATCACATTTATTCTGGAATTCTACAAGTAAATTTATAAGTTAGGCTCAAATTCATTTTGGAGTTTATGAATTTGAAATTTGTCCTACAAGTGAATGTGGCTGTAGTAAATCTTTATTGAAGAAATAAATTAATTTGCTATTGTTACATGGTCTGGACTTGGTATTCTTTTCCCTAAATAATCTAAAAGAACCCACCAAACAACAGAATGCATTACAACATTATTTTCCATTGGATAATAAACAGTGTCCAACTGAATTGTGGGTGGTTAGTATATATTTTCCTCAGTGCAAGCACCTAGATTCTAAAAGATTATTTAATGGCTTCAAACTAGAAAGCACAAAAGCATGAGCTTAATTTCTAACAATGCTCTAAGAGGTCTTAAAATAATTTTTATCCAATATTATGTTTTAGTATTTGTTATATTAGTTTAGTTTTTGTTTATCATTCACACAATTAAGGCTTTAAGCCTATTACATCATGTATACATTTTATGTATGTCTATATTACTGATAAAACATAATTAATCTTTTATTAATGCTTTTTTGCAGCACAATCTAACCTCATTCGACAAGGACACATCTCATTGTTATTAATTGAATAAATTTATCATACTCTGGCTCTAAATAATAACTTTTGTATCAATTTCTTTAAGCAATTCAAACTAAGGACAAATTAATAATGTACAATTATTGTTTCCTGTAATAAAATGATCATGTAAAAAATCGCATCAACAAATCTATCTTGCTTCTCTATGCTTATATGTTTTCAAGCTTCAATTTCTAAACTATGATGATGAAATTTATTGTTTTTAGTGAATGCATTACTGTTTAATGTACAATAAAGTGATGTAAGTAAAAGAAGAAACATAATGCTTCTCCAGAATTCAAACATTGAAATTTGTATTATACAAAACTACTTTAGAAACCTGGCCAGAATTCCTTTTCCAACTGTATCCTAACTTTTCAAAAACAGCCCAAAGTTCTTTCAAAGTTGCTTCTGAATTGGTCTTGACAAAGAACCTTGTCATTCTTTTCACAAGTCTCTGCATAGGAGTCTGCAAAAAGTGGATAAAAAGTAATAATTAAGTTCACTATCTTTTAATTAAACTCAACATATATGCATTAAAATTTGCTGAAAACTAATTTAATAATTTTCTTTTTTTAAAAGTCAGAAATAAATATCTTTACATTACACTACATCATTCTAAAATGAATGCAATGATGAATGTAGGTATCACACGCTTAACTTTTGTTAAAATCACATTTCAAGTAAAACTATTTCTAGGTTACTCTATATATATACACCCTTTTTATGTTCAAATAAAGATGGAAAAGATGAATCAAAGCATATGAATATATTGAGATAAACGTAATAAAAAAATAATAATAAGGTTACAAAATAGTTTACCAGAGAGGAACCTGGAGTAGTCTGTATCTGACTGCTAAGTAACATATGTTCTGGATGGGCAGGTTGTGAGAAACTAATACCATATGATACTTTGTTCATGATGGATGTCTCATTATCTCCTGTCTGAGCACTATCATCAATACTAGGATCAGGTTGGGAGCTAGAAAAACGAGTAACACCTACGTCCCTATGGCTTAAAATAAATAAAAGATAACCATATTTATCATATGTAAAACAAACATAAAGAAACAGCAAAGTTGCTAGTACAAACTAAAAACAAATGAAGATGGTATTTCAGTGGTAAGTAATAAGTGAACATTGTATTAGCAAAACTTTATGGTTGGAGAGGTTACAAATGTCACACAGCTTGTGTTAAGGCATCATTTTAGGTAAACAGACTTTTGTTAAATATTTTAGCTTTGGATCTATTGCTACTTTGACAAAACTTATTGATCTGTTACATTTTAAGAGCTGAAAAGATAAACTGACATTTCTTAGCAGGTAGTTACAAAATTAAAAAACACAGATATAAGCTTCTGTTGCTAAGAAATAAAATATATTAATTCACCACTTTTAAAAAAATTTGAGAGAAAAATCTCAGTAAAAAGTAACAACCAGTAAATTATGGAAATTCTGTCATTCATACAAATTAATGAAAATATCAAAAAGCTTTATCAACTAAAAATATTATAGAATTCAGAACACCAACCTCCCTAAAGCTGCAGGATAGTCATTTTCTGAGCAAATCCGTTTTCGAGGCACTGAATCATTATTAAGAGAACACCATCTACGAACAGCTATTTGAGAGAATAGGTAATCTTATAACAAACAATTAATGTTTGTTTTGAAATGTATTATAAATTTCTTGAAAAACACTTTGAAGCATACATTCTAAAGATACTACGTCCAGAAACATTTTCAGAAAAAAACACCTAGTAAAATACGTTACAAAGAGTTGCCAACTGACATATGTTTAGTACCAATCTTAATTTTGCATTTATTTTCCATATTTTAGACCTTTTAAGTTTACAGAAGATCATTTAGAATAAAAATATAAACCTAATGCATGATTATTATACACTTAATGAAATTTACCTTTGGATTTGAAATTCTTGTTGAACCACTGGTGACTCTTGATTTGACTGATGGTGTAGCGTTTAGAGGGACTACCCATTAAAACTTTTCTCAAAAGAGCTTGACATAAAATAAGGTTTGCATATTTATATTCATCATACAACATACTACAAAAATACATAATACACACTTATCTATTAACAGTTAGTACACTATAGTGAATAAAACAAGAGTATAATAATGGCTGGAGACGGCTTAAATGGGTAGTGAAGAAAAACTTTAATATAAGTTTAACATG